TTTTTTCCAAAAAGCACAATATGGAAAGGGGGAAAAAGAAATTTTATGATAGAGAAACCTGACAAACCCTACCTCATCTAGATGGTCAAGGTCAACATCAACAGTGATACATCCTGTTGATTGTACATCCTTGATATGACATGATAAAGAGGCACTTTACCTCTGTGAAAGGCTGAGAGAAAAAAGCTGCAAACCAAGGATACTCTGACAATGTTATCTTTCAGAAATGAAGGAGAAATACAGCACACTTTCGAACAACTGCTGGATCAAAGAAGAAATTAAAAAGGAAATCAAAAAATATCTTGAAATGAATGAAAATGGAAACAGAATATGCCAAAACCTAAAGGGATGCTGCAAACGCAATTCTATGAGGGAAGTTATTAGTAATAAACACCTATATTAAGAAAATAAAAAGATCTCAAGTAAATAACTGAACTTTACACCAGGATAAACTAGAAAAAGAAGAAAAAATTAAGCCCAAAGTTAGCAAAAGGAAGGAAAAAACAAAGATAGAGCAGAAATAAATGAAATAGAGACTAGAAAAAAACAATAGAAAAGATCAATGGAGCTAAGAGCTGTTTTTAAAAGATAAATAAAATTGATTAACTTTTGCTAGATGAAGAAAAAAGAAGTACTCAAATAAAATCAGAAATGAAAGAGGAGACCTTACAACTGATACCACAGAAATACATAGAATCATAAATGACTAGTATGAATAATTACATGCAAACAAATTGGATAACCCAGAAGAAAAGGATAGATTTCTAGAAACATACAACCTACAAAAACCAAGTCAGAAAGGAATAGAAAATCTAATTAGACTGCTAACAAGTAAGGAGGTTGAATCAGTAGTCAAAAACCTCCCAACACAGAAAAGCCCAGGACCAGATTGTTTCACTAGTGAATTCTACCAAACATTAATGAAGAATGAACACCAGTATTTCTCAAACTCTTCCAAAACTTAAAAAGGAAGGATCACTCCCAAACTCATTTTACAAGCCTAGAAATGCCCTGATAACAAAGCCAGATAAGGACACTACAAGAAAAGAAAACTACAGGCCAATATCCTTGATGAACATAGATGCAAAAATTCTCAACAAAATATCAGCAAACTGAATTCAATGTCATATTAAAAGGATCATACACTATGACCAAGTGGGATTTATCCCTGGGATACAAGGATGGTTGAACATACACAATGTGGGGACTTCCCTGGTGGTCCAGTGGGTACTGCTCCCAATGCAGGGGGCCTGAGTTCAATCTCTGGTCAGGAAACTAGATCCCGCATGCATGCTGCAAGTAAGAAGTCTGCATACCACAACGAAGATCCCATGTGCCACAACTAAGACCCGGCACAGCCAAAATAAATAAATATATTTTAAAAATATGCAATGTGGGGCTTCCTTGGTGGTGCAGTGGTTAAGAACCTGCCTGCCAATGCAGGGGACACGGGTTTGAGCCCTGGTCTGGGAAGATCCCACATGCCGTGGAGCAACTAAGCCCATGCACCACAACTACTGAGCCTGCGCTCTAGAGCCTGCATGCCACAACTACTGAAGCCCGCATGCCTAGAGCCTGTGCTCCACAAGAGAAGCCATTGCAATGAGAAGCCTGTGCACTGCAACGGAGAGTAGCCCCCGCTCGCCGCAACTAGAGAAAGCCCATGCCCAGCAACAAAGACTCAACACAGCCCAAAATAAATAAAATAAATTTATTTAAAAAATTAAGGATTAAAAAAAATGCAATGTGTACCACATTACATCACATTAACAGTATGAAAGATAAAAATCATATAACAATCTAAAGAGATGCAGAAAAAGCATTTGACAATACAACATCCTTTCATGATAAAAACTCTCAACAAATTGGTATAGATGGAACATATCTCAACATAATAGAAGCCATATACATCATTCCCAGAGCTAACATACTCAATGGTGAAAGGTTGAAAGATTTTCCTCTAAGAACAGGAACAAAACAAGGGTGCCCTCTCTCACCACTCCTACTCAATATAGTACTGGAAGTCTCAGCAGAACAATCAGAAAATATAAAGAAATTAAAAGGCATCCAAATCAAAGAGGAAGAAATAAAATTGCCTTTGTTTGCAGATGATATGCTTTTATATATATAGAAAATCCTAAAGACTACACCCCAAAACTGTTAGAACTGATCAACGAATTCTGTAAATTTGAACAATACAAAATTAATGTGCAAAAATCAGTTGCTTTTTTATACAGTAACAACAAAGTGTCTAAAAAAGAAATAAAATAATTACATTCACAATATCATCAAAACAATAAAATACTTAGGAATAAATTTAAATAAGGAGATGAAAGACTTGTATACTGAAAATGATAAGACTTTGATGGAAGAAATTGAAGACAGATAAACAGAAAAATATCCTGTGTACGTGGGCCAGAAGAATTAATATCGTTACAATGTTCCTACTACCCAAAGCCATCTATAGATTCAGTGCAATCCCTATCAAAATTCCAATGGTATATTTCACAGAAATAGAAAAAAGAATTCTAAAACTTTCTGTGGAACCACAAAAGACCCCTAATAGCCAAAGCTATCAGAGGAAAAAAAGAGCAAAGCGAGAATCATCACACTTCCTAATTTCAAACTATACTACAAAGATATAGTAAGTAAAACACTGTGGTCCTGACATAAAATTAGACACATAGACCAATGGAACAGAATCAAGAGCCCAGAAATAAGACCCTGCATATATAGTCAACTAATACTTGACAAGGGAGTCAAGAACACTCAGTAGGAAAAGTATAGCCTCTTCAAAAAATGGATAACCACATGCAGAAAAATGAAATTTGACTTCTATCTTAAACCACTCACAAAAGTTATCTTGAAATGGATTAAAGACTTAAATGTAAGACCTGATGCCATAAAACTTCTAAAAGAAAACACAGGGAAAAATTATTTGACATTGGACCAAGCAATTATTTTTTGGATATGACACAAAAAGCACAAGCAACAAAAGCAAAAATCAACAAGTGGGACTACATCAAACTGAAAAGCTTTTGTACCGGAAAAGAAATAATTTTAAAAATGAAAAGGCAACTTATGGAATGGGAGAAAATATTTTCAAAGCATATATCAGATAAGGGGTTAACATCCAGAATATGTAAAGAACTCATACAACTCAATAGCCAAAAAACCCAAACAGTCCATTTTTTTTTAAAGGGCATAAGAATTAAATAGACATTTTTCCAGAGAAGAAATACAAATGGCTAACAGGTACATAAAAGATGCTCAACATCACTAATCAGCATGGAAATACAAATCAAAATCTCAATAAGATATGACCTCACACCTGTTAGAATGACTATCATCAAGAAGGCAAGAGATAACAAGTGTTGGTGAAGATGTGGAGATAAGGGAACACTTGTACACCGTTGGTGGGAATGTAAATTGGTGTGTCCATTATGGAAAACAATATAGAGTTTCCTCGAAAAATTAAAAATAGTATTACCATATGATACAACAGTTCTACTTCTGGGTATATATTCAAAGTAAATGAAAATAGGAATTTGAAGAGGTATATGCACTCCCATGTTTATTTTAGCATTATTCACGGTATGGAAACAACCTGAGTGTTTGTCAACAGATGACTGGATAAGGAAGTTGTAGCATATATACAATGGAATTTATTCAGCCATGAGAAAGAAAGAAACGCTCATATTTGCAACAATGTAGGTGGACTTTGAGGGGATTATGCTAAGTGAGATTAATTCAAACAAAGAGAGATACTGTATGATATCACTTATATGTGGAATCTTAAGGCGAACTCATAAATACAGAGAGTAGAATGATGGATATTAAACGTTAGGGGTTGGGGAAATGGGATACGTTGTGTAACGGTACAAATTTGGAACTAGGAGATAAGTCCTGGAGAGCTAGTGTACAGCATAGTGATTATAGTCAATACTATTGTATTATAAACTTCAAAGTTGCTAAGGGACTAGACCCTAATTGTTCTGGCCACAAAAAACACATGAAAATTAGGTGAGGTGATAGACGTGTTAGCTAACACTAAGATGGTAATCATATTGCAATAAATAAATGTATCAAATCAATATGTTGTATACCTTAAACTTATACGATGTTATATATCAATTATATTTCCGTTAAAAAGGAATACGAATTACATGGTGTGATTTCTTAATTGGAACTCAAAGAATAACTTTTTCGAAATATTATGTAGGGTGGTATTAAATACTGTCATATTTTCTCCAATTACCTAACCATGCAAGAAACCAAAGCAAAGGAAAAGTGGAGAATTTTGCTGCTTCTCATGTCCCATTGGTTGCACCTCCTTTTTATGGGTTCTTGGTCAAAGGTGACTCCAGGTCCAGGTAGTAAAGAAGATTGTTCATTATAGCTCAGCCCGTCCCTTTTACGATCTCTATTTTTACCTCACGCATAGCACGCCTTTATAATTATTTTCCATTTACTTTTCCATTTATATTTCCAATTTCTGTCAGGGAACAATGAGAAAAAGAAAACGCAAGCCAAGTTCTACAAGCGCCCCAAGACTCCACCTGCTGATTCAAAATAAAATTGCAGACAGGCGGGAAGCTCAGCCCTACAGAGGGTTCTGGGACGTGTAGTCTCGACGCTTCCTGTGATTGGGGCACTTCCGCTCCAGGAAAGCGCGGATGTGTTAATCGCGCCGCTGGGGAAATAGAAGAGTACAATCCAGTGCTCTGCGTGTTTGGAGGCATTTCGGATACCGGAGGGCGAGAATAGGAAGCCGCCCCTTTCGTGGATTCTGGGAAACTGGATTCAGGCCGTCGATGTTGGAGTCGGCACTTTCGCCTCGGGGGGCGGGGCAGCGGCTCTTGTTCCTCTCGGGGATGCTGGGAAATGTAGTCCAGGAGCTCCGCGTAGTCGGAGGTATTTCCGCTTCAGTAGGTTGCGATTGCGGCCTTCGGTTCTCTCTGGGAGGTGAGTGATCTTTGGGAGCCTGCGATTTCTTTTAATTTTTCTGATCTGGTCCTGGGATCAGCCGGGCTCGGTCCTCGGTCACAGAGCAGAAAAGCCTTGACCTGCGGCAGAGGGCGGGGTGGAGGGGCGGGGGCGGCCGCTTGCCTTCCCCTCGTCCGATTCTCTGCGTTTGCGGCTGTTCGCAAGTCCTCGGATTGTAGGCGGACAGAAATCGGCAGTTTGTCTCCCGGGCTCCTTGCCGTCCAACCCGCCTCCCCCCAGTACCTTCCTTCCACACGCTCTGTTACTTCCTAGCGACATAAGGTTGGATGAGAATTTAATCTTTCTGTGCCTTGGTTTCCTTTTCTGTAAAAAGGGGTATTACGAGTACGTGCCTTATACAAGATAAATGTTTGGGACACATCAGGCGTGTGGCAAGGTGTCGGCTGTTAATGATATGATAATCAGAAAAGCATCGCTTTCGGTGGAAGCTCCCCGAAGTGCCACTGGCAATTCTTTCTGATCCCTGCCGGAAAGGAGGCTGTGCCTGGACGACTTCTGACCCGTTTTTAAAGAAAAAGTGGGTCACCCACAGATACCCGCTGTAGTTTTCCCAGGACCACAAAATCGTTGTGTCTCCCAGCCTCCTTTCCTTCTCCTGCCCTGGTATCTGAAAAGGGGGGCTGTAGAAAAGAGAGGAGTGAGCCCAGGGCTTCTGGTAGCAGAGCCCCACCGTGGCAGGACTTATAGCATCTTCCTTTTCTGTTCCAGTGGTAGAAGGTATTTTATTCATTAGTAAATATTTCTGCTACAAAAGCGTTCAGTTACTGGTAAATAATTATGAAAATATGTAGATCGCGTACAGGGCATGAGTGGTAATCAAAATAGTTAAACATTGAGTCCTAAGTCTCATCCTAAGGGCTTTATAAAAATTAGTGCATTTAACCTTCACAAGGCCCTATGAAGTGAATACTTTTATTACCTCTATTTTACAGATGAGGAAATGGAGATAGAGAGAGCATAAGTTACTTAAGAGCAGTGGGATTTGAGTCTAGGGCTTGCGTTCCTTATATCTTTGGATATCCTTGGTCCCCTCGTTTAAAATCCCAAAATTGGAATTAGGAAACAAAATAGAAAAACAGTCTATCGAAATATTCAACCATAGGAAACTGGCTGCCGAGGAGGCATTTGGCATCAAGTTGTGGAGGTAGGTTGGAATTGTATTGTAGAGGATTTGAAAGCAGGGTTAGTGAGTTTGGGTGTCTTTATAAGAATTTGAGGGCTTCCCTGGTGGTGCAATGGTTACGAATCCGCCTACCAATGCAGAGGACACCGGTTTGAGCCCTGGTCCGGGAGGATCCCACATGCTGTGGAGCAGCTAAGCCCATGCGCCACGACTACTGAGCCTGCGCTCTGGAGCCCGCGAGCCACAGCTACTGAGCCCACGTGCCTAGAGCCCATGCTGTGCAACAGGAGAAGCCACCACAATGAGAAGCCCGCACACCGCAATGAAGAGTAACCCCAGCTCGCCGCAACTAGAGAAAGCCCACGCGCAGCAACAAAGACCCAACGCAGCCGAAAATAAAATAAATAATAAAAGTAAATACATTAAAAAAAAATTGAAAGCATTCTCATTTAATCTTATTTTAAATATGCATAGTTTATATTCCAGTTATAGAAGAAGTGCACATTCATTGTAGAGAATTCAGAAAATGTAGAGATATGATGTAATGAAAAACATTAAGAATTACCAATATAGATGTATATGTTATAACGTTTAGGATATGTATGACATATATAGGACATAGACGTATAGGATATAGATGATTATTAACATTTCAGTGCATTTCTGTTTGTCAGTTTTTCAGTGTGTATTTATGTTATACAAAATTGTTATCAGATTATTCATATCCTTAACTCTTTTTTTTTGTAAATTTATTTTATTTATTTATTTTTGGCTGTGTTGGGTCTTCCTTGCTGTGCTCAGGCTTTCTCTAGTTGTGGTTCGCGGGCTTCCCATTTTGGTGGTTTCTCTTATTGTGGAGCATGGGCTCTAGGTGCACGGGCTTCAGTAGTTGTGGCGCACGGGCTCAGTAGTTGTGGCTTGTGGGCTCTAGAGCACAGACTCAGTAGTTGTGGCTCATTGGCTTAGTTTCTCCGTGACATGTGTGATCTTCGCGGACCAGGGCTTGAACCCGTGTCCCCTGCATTGGCAGGCAGATTCTTAACCACTGTGCCACCAGGGAAGCCCCATATCCTTAACTCTTAATTCTGGAAATTTCCAGACAACCCAAAGTATAATATCAATATAATGAATTCCCGTGTAACAGTCACCCTGCTTCAGTCCTTACTAATCTTGCTGCATCTCCCTCTCCCCATGCACACATTTTTCCCATTGAGTATTTTAAAGCAAACCCAGATGCTGAGTTAGTAGGACTTAAAAATTAATTATTATAAGTTGTTTATATACGAAGACCAAGGGAGGGGAGATTGTATTAGTTTGCTAAGGCTGCTGGAATAAAGTATTACAGCCTGAGTGGCTTAAACAATAGAAATTAATTTTCTTACAGTTCTGGAGCTGGGAGTCCAAGATCAAGGTATCAGCAGGTTTCGTTTCTTCTGAGGCCTCTCTCCTTGGCTTGTAGATGGCCGCCTTCTTGCTGTGTCCTCCCAGTCTTTCCTTTGTGTGTGTGTGCGTGCCCCTGCTGTCCCTGTTTGTGTCCAAATTTCCTCTTCGAAGGACACCAGTCAGATTGATTTAGGGCCCACCCTAATGACCTCATTTTAACTTAGTCACCTCTTTAAATGCCCATCTCCAAATACAATTACATTCTGAGGTCCTGGAGATTAGGAGTTTAACGTATGAGTTTGGGGCTGGGGGGGGGGGGTCACAATTCAGCCCATAACAGGTATTAACAGCAACTCTAAGATTTTCACACATGGCAACTAGAAGAATGTTATTTATATGAGAAAGTTAGAAAGAGTTGCAGTTATGGAAGGAAAATGATGAATTTCCTTTGCTCCTCTGGAGTTGCACTTGCCACAGAGCATGTAACTCTCAGTTTCATCTCTCTCTCTTGTTAGGCTACAGGGTCCTCTGATTCATGGATCTGGTCACATTCTTCTCGGAGTGCCCAGCGCGGGGTCGGCAGAGAGGAGTTGTTCGGTAAGTGTGATTCATGCAGCTGCCCAAAAGGGCTACAGCCTGTGATTAGAGAACAAAAATAGAACGACAGTCTATACCACATGCCTTGTGTCATACCTCACTTACTTCTGGGGAGATGTAGAATCCACCAACTTTTTCGGAGTGTTCAAAAGTTAATGTATGATCATGCCTAGTATCGTCATGCTCTAAAACAAATTTCCTAGAAAACAAATGAATTCTTTTAAAAAATTGAAGTATAGTCGATTTACAGTGTCATGTTAGTTTCAGGTGTACAGCACAGTGATTCAGTTATACATGTGTGTATATATACATTTAAAGAGAATCCATCCTTTTTTTTTTTCTTTTTTTAATTGAAGTATAGTTGATATACAATGTTGTGTTAGTTTCTGGTATACAGCAAGGTTAATCAGTTATACATATATGTATATATTCTTTTTCATATTCTTTTCCATTATAGGTTATTACTAGAAACTGAGTATAGTCCCCTGAGCTGTACAGTAGGTCCTTGTTGGTGATATATTTTATACATAGTAGCATGAATATATTTATCCCAAACTCCTAATTTCCCCCCTCCTTCCCCTTTGGTAAGCATAAGTTTGTTTTCCAATCGATGTTTATGTTCAATTTTTTTGTTTAATATGCAGGGAATCAGCAAGCCACCTCCACAGATTCTGATTTAATTAGTTTTAGATAAGGTCTGAGCTTTTTTTAAAAAATAAATTTATTTATTTATTAATTAATTAATTTATTTTTGGCTGTGTTGGGTCTTCGTTGCTGCGCGTGGGCTTTCTCTAGTTGTGGCAAGCGGGGGCTACTCTTCATTGCAGTGCGTGGGCTTCTCATTGCGGTGGCTTCTCGTGTTGTGCAGCACGAGCTCTAGGCATGCAGGCTCAGTAGTTGTGGCTCACGGGCTCTAGAGTGCAGGCTTAGTAGTTGTGGCACACGGGCTTAGTTGCTCCTCAACATGTGGGATCTTCCTGGACCGGGGTACAGGGCTCGAACCCGTGTACCCTGTATTGGCAGGCAGATTCTTAACCTCTGCTCCACCAGGGAAGTCCCAAGAGGGCTGTTTTTGACTGATGCTACTCAAATTTTGATCCAGGGACCAACAGTATCATCACCTGGCATCTTAGTAGAAATGTAGATTCTTCGTCCCCATCGTTGATCTCCTGATTTAGAATTTCTGGGGGTGAGACAGAGGACCCTCTATCTTGGCAGGGTCCCCGCCCGGTTGATTCATGGAACATTAAAATTTGAGACACACTGGTAGTGAGAACTGACTCAGGACTTTTTAACAAAAATATTTTCTGTTTCCCTCCGGCTAAATTACTCGTCCTTCAGATATCAGATACCTGCATGGTTCTGTCTGCCTTAGTTCAGGTCTCTGCTCAAAGGTGAGAGAAGCCTTCCATGACAAAAACTTATTCTGTACCAGCCCCTCCTTCCATCTCTTCCTACACCTTTACCCTGCCTTATTCTTCTTAAAAGCATCTCTCACTATCAGTGTGTTACTGCCCTGGTACCCCATTATGCTATCAGCTCCATGAGATCAAGGTCTTTGCCTGCTTTGTTCACTGCTGCATCTCTCACATCTAGGCTCCTTGGCTGGCACAGAGCAGGCTCTCAGTAATTATGTTTTGAATGAATGATTCGGGAGATAAATCACGAGGCCCTGATCTACATGGTGCGTCTTTCAGTTCTTCGTTCCAGCAGTCATTCTGTGAATCTTTGTTGAGTTCCTGGCAAGCACCTGCAGCAGTGTCCTAACTGTTGGGGACACAGCAAGAAACAAAACTCCCTGCGGGACAGATGTGATGAATATAAATGAGCAAAATACCTAGTAGGATGTTAAAGAGGGATACGTGCTAAAGAGAAAAGAATTAAGCAGGGATGGGGGGGGTCAGAAGTGTTGGGATGTCATTAGGAGATTGAAATTCTCTGTAGGGAGGAACTGTCTGAGGAGGTGACATTCAAATAAAGAAGGACGTGATTCTTGGTGTGGCCCTGGTAACAGTCTCTCTGGCCCCAGCCCCTTCCCCCTCAGATCTCCCATTTGCTGGGAGAGTGATCTGTTTCCAACACCAAAGGAATCTTCTGACTCTCCCTTCCTTTGCTGCTTTCCTGCTGACTTGCCGATAAACTGGGACGCCCGTCACTATGGTTTGAATCCTGCCTTCCTGCCAGCTTTTTCTGCCTCTTGTTTGTGTTCACTTACAGTCGTAACATTTGTTCTCTTGAGGTTTTTCAGAGATTCTGCTTCTCTCTGGCTAATAGAACTCAGTCATCCTCCAGGACTCAGATCAAGCCACATTGACGTAGAACCTGCTCCAAACAAGTGTGGACCCCAAGGCCCATAACTTGTGCTTCTAAAGTACCCAGTTCACTACTCTGGTACTTAGCAATGTGCAGGGTGATTGCTGGTTTCCTAATTACTAGACTGTGAACTTTAGTAGTCGTATCTTTTAGTCTGATTTCCATAAATGTTCATTGAATTAATACACTCATTTTTTAATGAAGAGTTAACAAGTTATCCTGTCTAGTGCTAATCATGCAGGCAATTAAATAGTTGTCATTCTCAGTGTTTTGATGGACACATTCTGTGGATTTTGTAACAGGAGTCTCTTTAGACATTGACTTTGAAGGGTGAGAAGCACCTTCCTAAGATAGTATTAAAAATCCAGAGGCCCTTTTCCTTCCAAAGATGACCTTGATCTTGCAAATATTGTGGAAGACCTAGAAGAAAAACTTGGAAATAAAACCCCCGCTCTCCCAATCCTCCCAAGTGGGAGCAGCCTCAGAATTTTGCCTCTCAAAGAGACCTTTGACCAACTAGTCTAGTCTTTTTATGTGCCTCTGCTGGAATGAACCTCTATGGGGGGGCTCATGTGTCAGGACACTGACATTGACACTGACTGCTAAGTGATCACTGTTACAGGCACTGCTTTAGGTGCTTGGGATGTAAAGCTGAGTTACTATTAATCCCAAAACAGACAGTGATTTACTGATTATCCCCTTTCCACAGAGGTGGTGGAAAGATCTCCCTGTAAAGCACTTCTTACTGAGCAGAAGTCACTGGACAAATATAGAGTCAGAACAAGGTGAATTACAAATCCTGAAAGGATATCTCTTCTAAGATTGGAAAGTTTTACACTGCCCCTTTCCATACAGGGTTCTTCTATCTGGAGTAGGACTAGCTAATAATAATAAACTAATAAGTAATTAATGAACCAATAATTAACTAATACTGATCTCTTAAGCTGGATATCTTACTCTCAGTTTGCACACTCCCCAGAATCAGAATCATACTCTGACAGCTATGAGAACTTGTATTAGGGCCACTGCGTGTGGTTGGGCAGGTCGTTCACTGCACCAGGGCTCTCGATTGAAGGCGTAAGTGGCGTCTGGAATCCTGCCCACGTCTGCTCATCAAGCCGTGTGCGGTTGCAGCCACCCCAAGGAAGAGCTTCCTTGACTATTTCATGTAAAGCAGCCCTAGTGAATGTTTAAGCTGCCAGATACTGTTCCACATGTTTTATGGAGAGTCACTTAGACTGACTAACCTGCCTATGTATTATTATAATTATATTACTGTATTATACATAATTATATTATATGAATATATTATCTATATATCTATATAATATATAATTATAATATATTGTATTATAATTATAATAATTGTTATTATTATAACCATCCCTAATTTATAGATCAGACCTTGGGTCTAAGTAGTAACAAGTTGGAGGTGCCAGGATTCAAATACTGGGGGTCTGATTCCAGAGCCTACACCCTTCCCAACCCTGTTCTCATCTCCTTCAAGCAGATCATCTGGCTTCAGAGTTCTCTCCCTGTTTCTATGTCAGTCTTTTATCCCTAGCTCTCAAGCTCTCATTTCTCTTTGCATGAGACCTCAGACTCCCATCTGTTTATTTTTTTCTTTAGAAGCAGCAGAGAGACAAGATCTAGAAGACTGGCTTCTTTGTGAGAGCTGGATTCAGGTTCCGCCCCTGCCCCTTGACCTCACCAAGCCTCGGCTTCCTCATCTGTTACGTGGGAACAACAGTCATCATCATCATCATTTATTGAGAACTTGGTAAAATGCCAGGTACAATGCCAAGGGCTTTTAGCTCATTCATCCACCACAGTAACCCTAGGACTGACATTCTTTTTTTTTTTCTCTCCTTGTTATAGTTGAGGAGAGGCACGGAGGTGGAGGTGATCAGACTGGAGTCACACGGCTAGTACACCCCTAGCTTCTTCACAGGTATGTGGGAGGTACCTTAGTGGAACAATGCGTGCCAAGTGCTTCTCCAGGTCCCTAACACGTACTTAGTGCTTGTGTAATGTTAAACATTGCCGTTTTTGTTGTTTTCATCATTACTATGATTAGCTTGTTCATTTAAGTGGCATGTTGACTAACTTACTGTTAAATCACAGGATTCTATTCATTTTTCTTCATCTCCATGATAATAGTGTTTTTATCATGGCCCTACTGTTAACAAAGTCAAATTGTCAAGGTCTGGGGCTTCCCTGGTGGCGCAGTGGTTGAGAGTCCGCCTGCCGATGCAGGAGACACGGGTTCGTGCCCCGGTCCAGGAAGATCCCATCCGCAGCTGGGCCTGTGAGCCATGGCCGCTGAGCCTGCGCGTACGGAGCCTGTGCTCCGCAACGGGAGAGGCCACAACAGTGAGAGGCCCACGTACCGCAAAAAAAAAAAAAAAAAAATTGTCAAGGTCTTACATCTTTGAAAAAGCTGTCATCCACAATATCAGATTCATAGAGAAAGTAGAATAGTGGTTACTCGGGACCGAGAGGAAAGGGAATGGAGAGTTAGTGTTTAATAGGTACAGAGTTTCAGTTTGGGATGGTGAAAAAGATGTGGAGATGGTTAGTGGTGATGATTCACAACAATATGAACGCACCTAACGAACTCTACACCTAAAAAATGGTTGAAATGGAAAATTTTATGTGATGTGTATTTTACACAGGAAAAAAAAATCAATGTAATCTTAAATATTACTGCAAAGGCATCAAATTAAATATGAAAAACCAAGAGAGAATAACAGATATTGCAGAGGTTAAATGTGATTTTCATACAACAAAGCAACAGCCTTTTAAGGCTCCATTAAAGCTATTGGTGAGGACAGGTTTTATGTCACTGAATATTACCTGCTTTCTGCTGCTACTGAGAAATAAGGTGCCCTGAAAGTGTTCTTTGAACTTTCTGCCTACTTATTTAATTCTTACAACAATCCTATGAGATAGCCGTTGATAATCCCTCTATTTTTACAGATGGAAGAATTGAAGCACAGAGATACTAATAATTTGTCTAAGATTTCACAGCTAATATGTCACAGTTTCATGAACCTACACATTTGGCCCCAGAAATTACTCTCTTAACCTGGGTGCTTTACTCTCAATTTCCGCCCTCCCCAGAATCAGAATCATACCCTGAGAGCTACACGAACTTGTATGAGGGCCTGTGTGTGGTTGGGTGGCTCATTCACTGCCCAGGGGCTCTTGGCTGAAGGGGTGAGTAGCATCTGGAGTCCAGCCCAGGCTTTGCTCATCAGGCCACCCTGAGGAAGCGGCACTGTTGCTTCTTCACAGTAAGCAGGCATATGGGTCAGTGACACCCTTGGCCAGACTCTGACGGCTTTTTTCTCCTTCCCCCATTGTGCCTGCCCAAGACTCAGCGCTTCCCCAGAAGGAGGAGGACAAAATGACCAAGCTCAAGGTGAGTTGGGCTTGCCCTTCTAGGTGTTAACTTGTCACCTCATTTCTCAGTGATAAGACGCATCCTATTTCTCTTTCTTGGGAAAGATTAAAGAGAACAGTAGGCATTTGGAAAACTCTTCCCAAGAAGAGGGCCGAATGATCCCTACTTTTTATTTTTGTTTGATTTATTTTTGTTGTTTTATCACCTTTTATAATTTCACAAATAAGAGTAGAACAGAAAAAGTCAGTTGCAACTAAAAAAATCTCTCACGTTATTACTGTTTCCCTTACAAAACAACTGTCTTCATTTTCCCATGTTCTTTTCCTCATATGCGTTCATAACTGTATATTTGTAATTCCTGTAGCATAAACTTCTCAAATTATACCTTTTCTAATTGATATTATATATCCCACATCTTTAATGGCAACATCATATTCCCTTGAATTTGTGTGCATTGTGTGTGTGTGGTGGGGTGTGTGTGTCTCATAACTTTTCCCCATTCATGGACATTTAGGTAGTTCAGAATGTTTACCATTTTAAAGAACACTGAAGGGGCTTCCCTGTTGGCACAGTGGTAAAGAATCCACCTGCCAGTGCAGGGGACACGGGTTCGATCCCTGGTCTGGGAAGATCCCACATGCCGCGGAGCAACTAAGCCCATGCACCGCAACTACTGAGCCTGTGCTCTAGAACCCGTGAGCCTCAACTGCTGAGCCTGCACAACTACTGAACCCCGTGTGCCTAGAGTCTGTGCTCCGCAATAAGAAGCCATCGCAGTGAGAAGTCCGTGCACCGCAACAAAGAGTAGTCCCTGCTTGCCGCAACTAGAGAAAGCCTGCACGCAGCAAAGAAGACCCGACACAGCCAAAAATAAATAAATAAAAATAAAATTTAAAAACAAAACAAAACACTGTAATAACAGTTTTCCTAACACCAATTTCCTCAAAAGGGAATTTGGAAGAATTTGCTATTCTTTGGTCTTAATGTTCTAGGTACTCTAAATTGACAAAGTACATTTGCTATGCAGTACCTTGGGTATTTTGTATGTAGAATATTCCAGAATGGCAGAGCGCACCAGGATCTAACTAACGCTTCACACAGAGAAAATATTATTAGATATTTTCATGTAAGAAAGCTAGATTGTTTCTTACCCATGTCTGAATCATATCATGTGCATGTTTTATTTATTGATTTATACTTTTTATTCACATATTAATGAATTTTTTCAAAGTACTAATGTACTTAATTTTAAAAGTACAAAAAGACCTGTACAGAGACTTTTCATTTCTTAACTCCATTTAGTCTCAGACCAGCCTTATGAGGCCGAACTTGGTCTCCTCTGAATTTTAATGACAAAGAAACAGGATTGTAGAATTTCAGAAAACTGCTCAAGTTCACATAGGAAACCAAAGATCCAACTGATCCAAAAAAGACTCCTAGGATTTTTACTTGGATAAAGAGAGTGAGACAAGGGAAAAGAATTCTCCACCTGGGACTTAGCCTATTCTGTGGGGTGCCTAGTTGTCCTGGTGGGTGGAAGACTCCATAGATGATACTGTCCCTACCATAGATCATTCTTGGTGGCCCCTTCTTCTCCATGACCTCTGTTGCTCATATAAGGCACTGGATGTGCAGGGCTCTGGCACTGAACACAGTCTTTGTACGAAAAATTAAAACAATGCTGTATACGAGTGATTCTTAATTACCCTCAGGTAACATCTGGAAACATTTTTAGTGTCACAGCTTGGGAGTGCCACTGATATCTAGTGTGTAGAAGCCAGGGATGCTGCTAAACATCCTACAGTGAACTCAGCAGCCCCCTGCCCCACCCCCAACAAAGAGTCATCTGTCCTCAAATGTCAGGAGTGCCAAGGATGAGAAAGCATGCTGTACCCAAAGCTGTACAAGAACAATAGAAGAATGTGGGTAAAAATATTTATAATACACACCCTAAAAAAAAAAGGTTAAAATCTCTAATAGGAATTTTACAGAATCCTAAGACAAAACCCCAATTGGAGTATGAGCAAAGAACATTAACAGGCAAGGTTCTGAAGAAAAAAATGAAGATAGCTAGTAAATATGTGAAAATATGATGAGCTTATTAATTATCAAATAAGTACAGATAATCCAAATAAGTTGTTTTTTACTGATAAAATTGCCTAGGATTTAAAAATATGGTTATATTCAATGTATATGGTTTAGAGAATCAGGGATACTTATATACTCTTGGAGGAGGATAAAATAGGGGAAAAGTTGAAAAGAAAATCTGCTGTTGTACATAATTATTTTGAAGCTGTCTATTCTTTGACATTGCAGTTTTCACTCTTTGGAACTTATCCTAAGAAAATAATTGGATGGGAAGCAAAAATCTATGTAAAAATTTATTCTTCTCCGCATTTATTGTGGAAAGAAGAAAATCTAAAGCATAAATGAGTTATGGGGAATGTTTGTGTTATGGCAAAATTGACTCTGGTCTCTCAGAATCTGGAACCACTTCGTACACATCGTCCCCACTTTCCTCAGTGCCGCCCTTTCAGCAGGGGACCTGCATTGCAAGGTTCAGATGGAGTGTGTTTGATGTCTTAGGAGGCGGTGACCTTCAAGGACGTGGCCGTGGTCTTCACGGAGGAGGAGCTGGGGCTGCTGGACTCTGCCCAGAAGAAGCTGTACCAGGAAGTGATGCTGGAGAACTTCCAGAACCTGGTCTCAGTGGGTGAGGAAGGGTACTCTGGGACTGAACATCGCATCAGCCCCTGTGGTATTTATTTACATGTCCTTGAATGGGCAGGGCTTTGGAGCTCTTGAACTGGTTTCCGGTTTTCTAATCAGCATGAGACTCAGAGATGGCGTTTTCTAGTCTTTCTCCCCAGGCCAAAGTGTGTTTGTAAATGAACTGTTAATTGATCACGTGACTGCTGTATGTTTTCTGGCTTTTCAAATTGTGGTCGTCTCCAATTAGTAGGTCATGACACTCTTTAGGGAATTGAAATAAAATAGGGTAGAAGATACCAGAGCCCTTGGCAATAACTGCATGTTGCAGTAAAAACTGTGGCCCATTGCCAAGAATAGTGTGAGAAATGGTGAAAAGGGTGCGATGAAAATAATGTTTTCCCATAATTTATGCTTATGTCTACCTATCCTCGGTTTTTGCATAAAATGTATTTCCTCCCATGGGTCATAATTAAAGGTTTGGAAAACACTGATTTTGATGTCCTGAAGACAGTGCAGTGGGAGCCGCAATTTCTCTTAATTTGGGCATCTAACATATTGATTTTAAATGTTTTTCCTTGCCTTTTTTGCAGGGCATCAATCATTCACACCAGATGTAATATCCCAGTTAAAGAGAAAAGAAAAGCTTTGGATGATAAAGATAGCAACCCAGAGCCGTCACTCCTTGGGTGAGAGCCGTGTGACCCTGAGTCTGTCCTGCTTCTTGTTGCCTCCACAGCTGTGACTCTGGTCCAAGTCAGCACCTAGACTGTGGATTACTGCCTCAGTCTTTGTAATGCTCTCTCTTCTGCTTTGCTCATTCACAGTTAATTCTCCACTCAGAGTGACTCTTTTAAATTCAAATCTTGTCATTTCTCTGCTCAGAACCTCTTGTAGCTTCTTACTGATTCAGAATAAAATCCCATCATTGAAAGTGGCTTATGATATCCCATATGCCCACCAGTTTTTGCCATGATTTTTTTTTTTTTTTTTTGGCCACACCATGTGGCTTGTGAGATCTTAGTTCCCTGATCAGGGCTCGAGCCTGGGCCCTTGGCAGTGAGAATGTGGTGTCATAACCACTGGACCACCAGGGAATTCCTTGATTTTGTGATCATCATGATTTCTCATCAGCAACATCCACATAGGTTAGCCCTGCATCTAGTGAAGCCTTTCAGCTTCCCAACAACATGGCTGTTTCTACTTTCTTTCCTGTTATGGGTAACTTACTTGAAAAACCTCTTTTACTTTTGTAACATGGCTCTAACTCTCACAGAGATGTCAAACTGGGATTTATTTATCCATTCAACATGTGCTTATTGAACACTGACTGTATCAGACAGGGTTCTGGGAGTGGTGATAAACCAGTGAATAATACAAAATGCTTGTCCTCATGGGTATTGCATTGAAGTGGGAGATGACATAAAATGAAAAAGATCAAGGATGTATGTAGTATGTCAGATAGGAATATGTGCTGTGTAAAAACAAAACAGGGTAAGGCAAATGGAGATTGCCAGGTGCGTAGAATGGATAGGGAGAATTTACTATATGATATTGTATGGTAAAAGATGCCTCACAGGGGCTTCCCTGGTGGCACAGTGGTTGAGAGTCTGCCTGCCGATGCAGGGGACACAGGTTCGTGCCCCGGTCCGGGAGGATCCCACGTGCCGCGGAGCGGCTGGGCCCGTGAGCCATGGCCGCTGAGCCTGCGCATCCGGAGCCTGTGCTCCACAACAGGAGAGGCCACAACAGTGAGAGGCCCGCGTATCGCAAAAAAAAAAAAAAAAAAAAAAGGCCTCACAGATAAGGTGTTATTTGAAAAGACACCTGAAAAGAAATTAGTAGCAAGCTATATGGCTGATCGGTGGAATAGAGTTCCAAGGAGAACGTAACTCTTCTGGTCCAATGTTGATTTCGAGACTCTGTATTATGCCCTATTTATTTCCTCCTCGCAAGTTTTTGCTGTATTGTAAAAGATAAACTTCTAATTTTTCACTTTTTTTTTTTACCCCTGGTGGTTGTAGGAACTTTACTGTTATGAGGTTTTAGACTAATGTATGTTATTACAGTAACATACTAATTCCAAAACTTGGCTTTGATTTTTTTTCCAGCTAACCCTTTCAGTGTTGTGAAGAACTGGCTCTGTGGCCAGGGAAAGTAAAGTTTACAGCCCATTTGTAAGGATATTTCCCAGGAGGAGGCAAAGAACCACTCTCTGCTTATATTCTGAAATTTAGGGCCTTAGGTGATAAGGTATTTCTCCCAGACATGTATCTTTCCAACTTATTTATTGCCTCAAAGTCTCCTTCCATTGGAGTAAACTTCCATTAAAATAAAGCAGAGGTTTTTCAACATTGCCTGGGGACATCCTCTGATAATCTGTCTAAGGGTCTTACTAGACATTTTGAGCATTTTGGTCAGATGTGCATGCAGTAGGCAGAATTATGTGGAAGCTGTTATTAGCCACCTGCTACAGCAAAGAAGATAAGGCTGTGAGTAAGGTACAGCTTTGTCTTTGTAAACATTCCCTAGGAGGTATTTTTCTTGCTCTGTAGCCATCATATTTCTAATTTATATCTCACCTATGAAACTTACTATGATTCTAAATGGATTCCACTAATGTGTAATGAATGACAGCCTGGTGGGCCACCTCTTGGTGTCTGGAGGCATGTAAATCAGAGAACATGATACATGATGTTAAAGAAAAACAAGCTTTTCGAGGTTCAGTAAAGCCTTATGGTGTGGGCCTAAGTTTATAACCTTGACATCTCTGAGCAAAGCATTCACATACCCCATCTCTAAATTCTATTTATCCATTTAGGAGACAAGAATCTAAATGGCATGGAGACTCTTCGGGAAGTTGGATTAAGGTATCTGCCACATGAAGAGCTTTTCTGCTCACAAATATGGCAACAGGTTACAAAGGAATTAACCAGGTGTCAAGATTCCATGGGAAATATTCAAGGAACTGGCTCTCAGATGGAAAAACAAGGTGGCACACTCAGTAAAGATGAGGAGTTTGGTAAAGACTTCAATCAGACTTCACATCTTCAAGTTCACCACAGAGACCACGCTGCAGAAAAACCCTACAAAGGGGTGGAGTGTGAGAAAGGTTTCATACGGGACTCTCACCTTCAAATGAACCAGACAGCCCACGTAGGAGAGAAGCCCTACAAGTGTGAAAAATGTGAAAACGCCTTCCGTCGGCTTTCAAGTCTTCAAGCCCATCAGAGAGTCCACAGTAGAACAAGATTGAACAAATATGATATGTCGTGTAAGAGTTTCAGTCAGAGGTCATATCTTCGTCATCATCAGAGGGTCCCCACTGGAGAGGATCCACACAGATTTGAGGAGTGTGGGAGGAACGTCGGGAAAAGCTCACATTGTCAAGCTCCTCCCATAGCCCACACATTGGAGAAACCCTATAAATGTGAGGAGTGTGGACTGGGCTTCAGTCAGCGCTCCTATCTTCACATCCATCAGAGAGCCCACACAGGAAAGAAACCTTATAAATGTGAAGAGTGTGGGAAGGGCTTCAGTTGGCGTTCACGCCTACAGGCTCATCAGCGAATCCACACTGGGGAGAAACCCTACAAATGTGAGGCATGTGGCAAGGGCTTTAGTTACAGCTCACACCTGAACATCCACTGTAGGATCCACACAGGCGAGAAACCCTTTAAGTGTGAGGAGTGTGGGAAAGGCTTCAGTGTGGGTTCCCACCTCCAAGCCCATCAGATAAGCCACACGGGAGAGAAACCATACAAATGTGAGGAATGTGGCAAGGGCTTCTGTCGGGCCTCAAACCTTCTGGACCATCAGAGAGGCCATAGTGGTGAGAAACCATATCAGTGCGATGCATGTGGAAAGGGCTTTAGTCGTAGCTCAGATTTTAACATTCATTTTAGAGTCCATACAGGAGAAAAACCCTATAAGTGCGAGGAGTGTGGGAAAGGTTTCAGTCAGGCCTCAAATCTTCTGGCCCATCAAAGAGGCCACACTGGAGAAAAACCATACAAATGTGGTACATGTGGGAAGGGCTTCAGCCGGAGTTCAGATCTTAACGTTCATTGTCGAATCCACACGGGAGAGAAACCCTATAAATGTGAGAAGTGCGGGAAGGCCTTCAGTCAGTTCTCAAGCCTTCAAGTGCATCAAAGAGTCCATACCGGAGAGAAACCATACCAGTGTGCAGAGTGTGGGAAAGGCTTCAGTGTGGGCTCACAGCTTCAGGCCCATCAGAGGTGTCACACTGGAGAGAAACCCTACCAGTGTGAGGAGTGTGGGAAGGGCTTCTGTCGGGCCTCAAATTTTCTGGCTCACCGTGGAGTCCACACAGGAGAGAAGCCATACCGATGCGATGTGTGCAGTAAGCGCTTCAGACAGAGATCATACCTTCAAGCCCACCAGAGGGTCCACACTGGAGAGAAACCATATAAGTGTGAGGAATGTGGTAAGGTCTTCAGTTGGAGCTCATACCTTCAAGCCCATCAGAGAGTCCACACAGGGGAAAAACCATACAAATGTGAGGAGTGTGGGAAAGGCTTCAGTTGGAGCTCAAGTCTTATAATTCATCAGCGAGTCCATGCTGGGGATGAGGGTGACAAGGACTGTCCCTCATCAGAGAATACGTACAGCAAAGAAGCTCTATAAAATTACATGGTTTAATACCTCAAATGGGTGCTGAAATAGTCCTGCCATAGAAGACAAAACACCTGTTTGATAAAAGAGTATTTCTGCCAGAGCTCGACATGTCTGTGTGGTTGGGCGACCACACGGCAGAGAAGCCTCATAAGCGTGGAGACATAAGAACTTCATTCAGAGCCTTGACATTTAGCAGGTATGACAGAGAAGAGAGGCTTAAGAGGGATGAGTCTGAGCTGAAGGTAACCAAAAGTACTAAGATGGAAATGCCCAAATCTCTTCCACCAGAATAGAAGCTCTCGGAGGGCTGGGACTTTGTTGACGGCCAAGTCCACTCTGCCTCTTCAGCGCCAAACACACTGCAGGTGTCCAGTAATGTTAAATGAGTAAAAGGGAGAACAGTCACTTTTGAAATTTTCTTTCAGTTCCTCTCTAAAAATTTCTATAAAATTGTAGAAGGAGGAATTCTCCAAGGCTTGGAGGATTAAATAAGACACTTGGGCTCATTTCCCCAACCCTGCAGGTCCTGTGAACTAGTGCTTATCAAGCTCAAGGTTGTAACCCATTAGTGGGTCCAGAAGTCAGTTCACCAGGTTGTGGCCAGCACTTTTCTATGCTAACAGTTCTTTTTGGAGATGTGATTCGCATGCAGCCACATGCATAAATAAGTTTACATCTTCATGAATTTTGACAAATGTATCTACTTGTGTAATCATCACCGAGATCAATATATACCATATTTCTATTAAACCAGAGTGTTGCCTTGTGTACTATTCTTGTCATTCCCACCTCCAGGGGCAAAAAGTATTATGATTTTTATACCGTGTATTAATTAGGCCTGTCTGTTCTTGAGCTTCCTGTGTGTTTGGTATGTACTCTTTATGTCTGGATTCTTTTCATCAAATATATGATCATCCTAGGTTCACAGAAGGCAATTGACAGAACTCGGTATCCATGATAAAAATTCTTCAGTGAGATAAAAGGCATCTATGAAGATCCTATATGCTCATGTTCTTCTTTTATTATTAAGGAATAATTTATATACAGTAAAATCGACTGGTGGATCATTCTGTGTTTTGGCAAATGCTTACTATCATATTACATCATCACAATCAAGACATTTAACAGTTCCACCAGCCCCGGCTTTCTACTCTTTTTTTTTTCATAACTTTATTTTATTTATTTATTTTTCACTGTATTGGGTCTTCATTGCGTTGCGCAGGCTTCTCATTGCAGTGGTGTCTCTTGTTGCAGAGCATAGGTTCTAGTCGCGCGGGCTTCAGTAGCTGTGGCTTGCGGGCTCACTAGTTGTGGCTCGTGGGCTCTAAGAGTTCGCATGCCACAACTAAGGAGCTGGCGAGCTACAACTAAGGAGCACTCAAGCAGCAACTAAGGAGCCCACATGCCACAACTATGAAGCCGGCGAGCTGCCAGTAAGGAGCCTGCGAGCTGCAACTAAGACCCGACACAACCAAATAAATAAATAATTAATTTTTAAAAACTCTGTTGGGGAAAGATAGAAGGTTTGGCAGAGAGCTTTATTGTAGCCTATAGAATAGCCTTTTTTGGGGGGGGGTCATGGGTCCTCACTTCTCAATGGGTCTCATTCTATTACCTGCCTTAGAACTGAGTGCCAATCTGGCACACACTGTGCCAGAATCTTTTCAGTTCTCCTCTTAGATTAGGTGAGTGGAGAGGTGTCATTAATTGGGAAAGGGAGTTCTGTCTGGGTATTTTAGAGAGACTAGAAAGAGGAGGGGATGGGTCCCTTAATTGCATTTTGACAGACTGTCTTGGGACCTACAGGTTGAAAGTTCAGGGTAAATAAGGCAGTGTGTAAAAGAGCCATTTGGAAGCCACTATCCATTTTGTAATTTTAATAGGGCATCCTTCAGTAGATCATTGTTTATGTAGATGATAAGACAAATGAAAGTTGCAAGTGTTGCTTTCTTGTAAGGTCTGTGCCTGAACTGAATGAGCACTAAAGTGTGTATCCTGATCAGAGTCCATGATATCTGGGGGCCCAGAGGAAACCAAGTTCTAATGAGGGCTATAGTGGTGAGGTTAGCACCCTGGAAAGGATAAGCCAAGAGTAGACCTGTTTATGTATCAGTCATTGTGAGGACAAAATGGTTTGTGTCAGCACATTGGCACAATGGCCCAATAAAATCAATTTGATGGTGAGAGAAGGGTCATTCACCCTTTGGTATAGACCTTCATGGGCTGTGCCACCAATAATCACGTTGGGAGGGTAGGGTTTGGGTTAGGGCCAGTGACATGGAGATGCCATGAATTTTGGCCCCAAATATAAGCATCTGGGGCCCAAGATGAGGGTAATACTTGAGCTTATTTGAGATATGGGAGTAAATGGGACAGATACGACATTTAAATGAGCCACCTCTGGGAGTCAGGGTAGGAGCTGAGATGGGAAATTTTCATTGTAATACATGAGGTCTGAGAGGTAATATATTGCCAATGTGGAAGGCCCTGTCATAGGGGATAAGCCTGAATGTGAAATCTATTTCGAGCCCATCAACTGCATCAGTCTAGGAGTCTGTAAAAATATGAAAAAAATGACATAATTTTTTGATGGTGTCCTCCAGTGTCAAAGTGACTACAATTAGCTCTGTGAATTTTCTCATCCTTTATTCGGGATGTCCCAGTCGTGGGATGGAAAGTGGTATCTCTCCATTGGGCTCATCACGAATGATGTGGTGCTGCTGACTGAAATAAATGGACTCCCTTTCCACTGGGACTTGGTTTATCCCAAGAGGCCCCACGGATGGCCAATGTGGCCAGGAGGGGCCAATCCCTCCTGGATTTGTGGACTTGGGCAAAGGACAGAGGGTGGGAAAAGCCTCATTCGCCTGTAGTTTGGATATGCCTGAGGGTTCAAGCCGTATCCTGTAGATACCATTTCCTTTTAATAAGGAGGCTTCACTGCCTGTTCCAAGTCTGTGGGGTGTTGTTTCCATAACCTATGGTAAAATAGGCAGTTGCACTTAAGGGTCATGGGCTCAGGGCCTATGATGGCTTTTTTCTCAAGTAGGGCCCAATCAGCACTAAGATTTGTCTTTTAAGAGAAATCTACCTCAGCCGCTGAGGGTAGTTTGTATCCGAAACACATGGGGAGTTGTTGGCTATCATGTGTGGTCCAAAGACTCCAAGGGGCACAAGACAGTTGCTAGGACTTCCACCATCCCACCAAGGGGTCACCAGGCAGATGTGGCATCGCTTGTTGGATGGTCTTTTTACATGGGCCTGCTGTTGGGGTGGCCCCCATTCAAATTGAAATGATTTTTTCCGTGACTTTTGTCAATAGATTTGAAAAAGACTATTGTAAATGAATTGTTGCAACCAAATGTTGCAGGCCATGGCCTGACAGTGCACTGCCAGAATGGAGCTCACTGATTTTGGGTGACTCAGACTCATGTAGGAGACACAATAAAGAATCAATCAAATTACTCTACCTCTCTTGGGCCCATGAAGGTTGTAATACAGTTTTTCTGTTTTGTTTTGTTTTTGCCACGCCGCATGGCTCGCGGGATCTCTGTTCCTCGACCAGGGATTGAACCCCAGCCACAGCAGTGAAAGGACAGAATTTTAACCACTAGCCCACCAAGGAACTCCTTGTAATACAGTTTTAAATTAAAATATTTTATCAACAGTTCTGCTGTGTAGATCTCCAAATGCGCAGCTTTTTGAGCCTTCATCTTGTGCATTCTTCAGAGGATCTGAAGTTCACCACTGGAGTTTGAACTAAACTTTCCAATGATATTATCTAGGTTTGCTGTTCTAACAGAGACAAAACGAACAGCAGTTTAAACAACATACAATAGTTTTCGCTCACGGATTCAGGTTAAGGTAACACTAGCCCCAGTACGAAACCACCTTACTGCCCAGGAACTCGGCAATATGAACTTTGTCCCCAAGGGATTTGTGTGAACTGTAGTCCAACAGCTCCGAAGTGGCTGAAGTACTTCCGGCGGAAGAGGGTGGGAACTCGGGCTGTGTTCTCCTCTGGCTTTCTGGGAAGTGTAGTTTACAAGTTCCGTAGAGACTCAGACGCTTCCGCACAGGCGCCGCTGGGACAGGGGAATTGTGGGAAGTGTATCCCCAGGGCAGCCTGGGGGCGGGGTTTTAGGCCCTGCAGCTCTGGGCGGTCAGGTAGTCTCCCTCTCTTCCCTCGCGCTGGTGAGTTGCTTCCTCGTTTTGCGACCCGTGGGAATTTCCCTGGGAACCTGTCCAACCCAGCCATCAATTTGGGGGAAAGAGCTGCTTCAGAGAGCAATGGTTTGAGGGCTGGGGCGTGGGCGGTTGTTCCTTTGGGCGGAGTCCTCTGCGTTTGGTGCGGCGGATGGGATCGTTCCTGGCCTGGTTGGAGGGGCACTAGGGCTCTCGCCTTGAGGACCCATCCCCTAGGCCGTGCACCTAATACCCTGCTCTGTCATTTCCCGCAGTAGAACATTGGATGAATTACTTAAATTTCTGTCTCTGATGGTTTCTTGTAAAATTGGGATGACATTACTACTCTTAAAAAACAAAATTCAGGGAATATTCCGAAGGTCCAGTGGTTAGGACTCCGAGCTTTCACTGCCGAGGGCCGGGTTCAATCCCTGGTGGGCGAGGTAAGATCCCATAAGCCACATGGCGGGGCCAAAAACAAAACAAAAAAGGCAAAATCAAACAAAATTCAGCTGTGTAAATTTGAAGATTTAATTGGCTTTATGCAACAGTTGGTGAATTGAGCAGCATCCCATCTAGTAAATATAAGGGTTGTACAAAATGGAAAGTTTTTTTTGTTTTGTTTTAGGCAGAAAAGTAGGGCAAAGGAATTATTAGTAAAAGAAAAGAAAGGATTATTTTTAGGTCAAGATCTCTTTTTGTGGGGAATGGAATGGCAAGGGCTTTATCGTGAAGATTGCCTCTTCTCTGGGGGATGGAAATGGGCTTTGTAATAGATTACCTCGTTAGTGCTGGCCAGAAAATACCAGCCTGGTTGATTAACATTATATTTCTATGTAAGGTGGAAACTGCAGTTAAGTCTTGGTTTGCTGTCATGGGGCGGGGTGTAGCAAATGACTCCATTTTGGGCCTTTTTTTTTTTTTTTTTTTAGCCGCCTCCGGGCATGCGGGATCTTAGTTCCCCCCCAGCAGACATCAAACCCTTGCCCCCTGCACTGGAAGCACGGAGTCTTAACCACTGGACCACCAGGGAAGTACCGGGCCTGTTCTTCCTTTATTAACACTACCTTCCTAATACGGTGGTTTGAGAATTAAATGGGATGGTATGAATAAAAGTCTTGATGGAGAAAATGTTCACATATCGAGGTATGGGGCAGTCATTTTAGCTTATACATGGTTCGGCCTGAACTTTGTGTGAGCCAAAGCAGCCTGACTCATGGCCTGTCAAACACACACAGCACATCTGCTTTAACCATTGAGGTAAAGACTATTCATCTCAAAGATAAGGATAAATAACTCCCTTCCTGTGGCATCTTCCTGCATCTCTCCTCTACCTGAGTATCTTTCCCAGAACAACATAAAACCGTGTTCATTGCAGCTTCCTATATAATGGCAAATCTAGTACTCATCAGGGATTGTGCCAAAATGCTTATTTAATTCATCCAGGAACACAGCAGTGGTTTGATAAATCGGGTTTATTCATTGCGGTGAGAGATTACACCCACCTTGGGGAACCATGAGGTGCCACGACGGTAAGAGGGTGTCAGGAAAAAAATCTATTACAGGATTTGGGCTTCATGTAA